TTAAGATAGAAGATAAGATTTTCTTATTACTTAAGAACTATAGAATTCAACAGCCTAGCAGAAAGTTAATAAAGTAAAATAAAAACTTCTTTAAAATAATTAAAAAAGTGAGAAATAGCTATAGACTAAAACTATTAAATAATATGAAGATCTACTTAATATTCTCCCCTGATAAATTATAAAAAGCTGTGAATAACCTTCTACTGAAACAACTAAATAAAATATCAAAATTGATCAAAATACAGAATAAAAATAAATAAGAAGTTGAGAATATTCTAGCAAGCTATATCTACTATAAGAAGCTTCAATATCAGGTATAATAGCTAAAATCTGACGATAATTTAATATAGTATCTAGCACAAAATTTAAAAAGATTTCTACATCTAATTTGAGAATTTTATATTATAAATTCAATAAAAGTAGAGCTTTTAAAGCAATTGAGTAATTGATTGAAGACTTGAAAAAAGGATGATTATTTAGTAAATTAAGTAGATAATAATCTATCAGTATAAGAACATGTCTAAACTTCAAAAAAAAGTAATGTAATAGTATAGAACAAGCTCTGTAGCCTTCTCAACAGTATAAGACTGAGATGATCAGTAATCATAACTATTTATATACAGTAATTATAACAATCTAGATATTAGCATAGCAATCAACTTCATAATTACCCTATATATAAATAATATATAAATGTGATAATCACATAACAAATTATGCTAAAGAAAAAAGTATATAAACAGAATCTTCTTTGAGCTTATCTTTTAGAAATTATATTAGTATTCACTCAAATAGCTTATTTAGTTAACAATTAAACACCTGTTCAGTTACATAAAAATTGAAGCTGTGATAAGATTATTATATTATATTCTTCTGATATTTTATTCTCAATTGTTCATGTAGTTAATCAAACTAGATATTGATTCTTCATATCTAGTTATATCTTCTACTTTACTAGTCAGAATTATTTTAGAATTATATTAATACTTTTCAGATCTGTTATTAGCATTGATATATTGAGAAATCTTTATTTATCTACTCATAAATACAAGAAAATAACTTCTATAATTGAAGTTTCTCTCTATTTATTGAATTTCATAATCTAATAATCTTTTATCAACTTCTTAAAGTTTGTATTAAAAAGATTATAATAATTTGCTTTAGAATCTACTAATATTTTTATAAAAATAGTATATTCATTAAAAGCTACTTTAATATATACAATAAAAAAATTTTCACTCATCAACTGATTCACATTCAAAGTTTCTAATACAACTATTTTATCTGAGAAGAAGGCTTCTCTCAGATTTAATCTTTTCTCAACTTGATGATAGTAGTCTCAGTATTCACTTTCTTTAATTCTATCTCTTACTTGCATGAGCAATTTCATACTATATGATCTTTGCTTTAATAATTGAAGTATTTTATATTCTTTTTTCAATTTTCATTCTTCAGTCTATTCTCAGTTGTCTATGCTGATATGATTAAAGTCAATTTACAGTTTCAAGTTGAAGAAGTTTTCTCATAGTTGATTTAAATTATAGAAGTTCTTTTATAATTGAATAGCTATCTATTATTTTAATTGAGTATATTTTTAATATAGTTAGCTGTTCTAATATAGATTTTTTAAATCTCATAAAAAATATTGCAATTGATATAGGTTACTATAATCACGCATTAAAGATTAAATAAAATATTATAAAAAATATCTAATTTATAATCTTTTTTATAAACTCAAGCTTTATTAGTTAGATGTAAAAACTTGATCATAAATATTTAATAATCATCTTTATTTCTTATTATTAGTTATTGATATTTTATCTCTTTATTCTCAAGTTTATTGACATTTTTATATATTCTTTATAGATATTTAAACACTTTCTCAGCTGTTTTAAACTTTTCAGAATAAGTTTTCTTTATTCTTAAAACTAAGTGTCTGACAGCTTCATCATCAATTCAGTTTTCAATATAAATAATATAGCTTTTTTCAGTTAGAAAGTAATCTACATTAATATTTAGTTTACATTTTATTCAAAAGAGTCAGTTTTTAAATATCAGTTTTTTTTCATTGATGATATGCTTAGAGTCATTGAGTTTAATTGATTGTTATATCTGTTAAGTATTTATTAGTCTGATTTAAGAGGTTAAAGAGTTCACAATTTACTATAATACATTTTATTTCTCTATTAAGCTGTTTACTTGCTGATTAATTTCACTTAATTACTTTCTCTACTCATCTCATTCTACTCTAACTCTTTTTAGAATATCTATTATTTCATTTATTAGATCAGTAATCTCTTGATATATCTGATCTGATTTCTCTTCAATTGATATAAGAAATTATTTCTTTAATATAGAATTTTTTAATTCAATATTTCTATCAATTAGAGTCATTATATCTCAATCTGATTTTCATAAACTGTCAGACTCTCTAACTGTTTTTAACATCTTTAGCAGTCTTTTCAGAGATTTAAAAATAAAAGTAGATATTAATTCTCAGAGGTTTTTATCAAAAAACCTATTTTAAAAAAAGGAAAAAAAGTATTTAATTTTAGTATTATATTATAGCTTTAATCTAGGTGTAGATGAATAAATATTTAATTGTTAGCTAAATAAACTATCTGAGCAAATACTAAAATAAGTTCAAGAAAAGCTCTATTTATATAACTCTTTTTTTTTAATATAATTGCTAGATAATTACTATATTTATATATTATTCATATATATAGTAATTGCAGAGTTATTTACTATTGTCTAGGCAGTTACAATTACTGATTATCTCAGTCTGTGATGATTATACTATTGAGAAAATTAGACATAAGTCTATTCTACACTATCATACAAAATAAATATAAAATTATTATTTTTGAACTATAAGTTTCTTAACTTTTTAATGATTTAAAAATTTTTTTCTATATGAGATATAATATAGCATTGAGCAAGATTTTTTTCATATAGTCACTATAAGATAGAAACTTTTATTTAATGATCTGAAATAATTACATACAGTTGCATTTAAAGATTAAAAAATTCTTATATAAAAAAGTTTATTTTTCTTATTTTAAAGCTTAATTTTCAAAAATACTGTAATAGAAGATGCTGTTTGTTGTTTGTTGAAAATATCTTTTTATGAGAATACTAAAATAAATGAACTAAGTATCAAAAGGAAATATGAAAAGCTCTATAATTAAAATCTTAATAGCATAGATATATAAACGCTGTGAGTGCTATAAAGAGAAGAGAATAGCAATAAATAAAATATATATGTAGAATTGAATAGTAGCTAATCACTGAATCTCTTAAAGAAACTTCATAGATTCAAAGTATTTATATATATAAATAATTAGCAATAGATTTTATCTCTAATCTTTTATAAAATGGAAAATTAATAATATAATAATTTAAATTTTCATGAAGTACTGATTTTATTCCTCAGAAAGTGCTGATGCTAAAGAACTGATTTGTGAGAAATGTTGATCTGTGCTGATCTCAAATGCTTAATTTTGAGATGATGCTGATTCTTTAATAAGTGTTGATTCTAAAGTGCTTTGATAAGCAATGTAAGATAAGCAGTATGAGGACAAGAAGCTAGTATAGAGAATCTTGACATCACACTTTTATCTGAATTAAATGAACATCTACAAGAATTAGCTCTTTTATTTCAAATAGTTAACTTCAATAAGAATAACTCTATATTTTTCTTTCAACTTGATCTTTATATCTTTGTGAAATTTATTAACTTTATTCTTAATAAAATTCTTAGTAGTATTTAACAAAAAATCTGAGTTTTCTTCTAGTCTTTATATGAGCATTTCTATTTATCTATTTTATCTTTTTATATATTTTGTCATCATTCATATTATATTCATATTGCTTTCATTTGTATTTATTTTATTTATTGATAAGTTTCTCCTCTAAACTCAGAAGTATATATATTGTATTTATCTCTATTCATGTTGTTGCTTGCAGAAGTATCCAATGATTCTGCAGCTCATGTTCTTGAAGATATCTATTTATCTTCTCTTAATTTAATTTGTTTTTCATGATCAAAGCTTTCAAAACAATCACTTTTTATTAGATTCTTGCTGCAATTCAGCAATGCAGTCTATGTGAGACATTTTATACCTCAGATAAAAGAATGTTAGGCTCAGCGCCCGACCGAGCCCGACCGAGGCTCGGTGCCCGGTTAGACTCAACGTCGGATTAAGCTTGGCGCCCGGTTAGGCCAAATATCCTCACGTGATCAAATGACCATGCGGGTGGTTATAACCCAGGCAGGCCCCAGCACCTCTTTCATCCCATCAAGCTTAGTATTTCATTATATAGCAGTTAGCAATGCAGAGAGTTTCCTTCTTATGCAGCTCACATTCACTCCCTAACATAATACTAAGCTTGATCCTACTCCTTCTACTCAGGATTGAGTAGAACCTGCTCAGTGAGAATCTGATGACACAACATACAACAGCAACTCATCTCTCTTACTACTCATCAGAGAGACCCAGACCAGGATGACCACCCCAGACTTCCAGCCCTCTGAAAAGACCAAGAGGGACTGATGATATGTTCTAACTAGGCCAATCAATCAATCACAGGTCTTGCTTGAAGAATTCAGACAGGCAATTCACTCAGACAAGGATCATGTCTACAAAGAGTTAGCAGCAATCTTTGACAGCATCTTTGATGATGAAAAAATGTTGAGGAATACAATCACATGTCTGAGGATGGAATGAAACAACATCACTGACCAGGTCACTGTCAAGCAAAGCCAGATTGATGAGCTAATTGCTGAATGTGATGAACTTAGTCACACTCTGATCTGCATGACAGTCAGCAATTAAGCAGCAAGTCAAGATGTCACTTCCTCTGAGACTACCTGGAGGTCTGTCAAGATTGATGATTCAAAACACCTCACTGACAGCAAGAAGTCAAAATTTGAACACTGGCTCTCTCAGATGAAGAACAAGCTCTGAGAGAACACTGACCACTATCCTACTGAATACATGAGAATTGCATACATTGAAAACCAGACTGATGGGGATGCAGCACATCACATTGCACCCTGTATGGAAGAGAATCACTCCAAGCAATATCAGACTGCAGAAGAGATATTTGAGCATCTCAAGTCAATATATGAGGATGCTAACAAGCTGCAAAATGTCAAGAGTGATTATTGCAAGCTGATTATGCACAATGAGAACAATTATCATGAATTTGTCACAAAATTCTTACACCTGGCAGGTGAGGTCAAGATTGTCAAAGAGGACTACAAGACAGACTTCAATGACAAGCTGTCCTTTGATCTTCAGAGGACAGTGACAGTAGTCAATGCAATCATCAATACATATGCTGAGTTTCAGAAGATCTGTGCTTAGGCAGCTCACATTCTTCAGACAATCAATGTCACTCAGAAGTCAAAGAGCTTGTGAGAAAATGAGTCTAATATCTTCAAGCAAAACACTCTGTGAGTCTCTGACAGTCAAACTTTCTACAGCATCTCAGTCACAAAATCCTCTATCATAAAGGAAGTCTTGAGTGCTTGTCCAGATATTCAGTGCTACTACTGCAAGGAGAAAGACCACATTGCCAGAAACTGCCCTGTGAAGCAGAAGTTTCAACAGGTGATCACTGAGCTCACAGAGAATGACACTCCTGAGTCTTCAGCAGATTTGAGAAAAGAGTGAGCCTGAGAGAAGACTTCATCTCAGGTAGTTCAATAGTCTGTGAGAGGTTTGAGATGAAGGACTTGATTGAGAGAAAGAGCTTTAATGTCTCAATTAAGTTAGCTCACAATGGAATTGCTACTTCTACAAATTCTCTCACTGATACTGAAGCAAATGATGTGAATTTTATTGATATCTGATACACTATAGAATTGGCAAGATTCTTCAATAGAAAGTTTCAGAAACTCTCATTCAAATGCTGCATGAAGAGATACAATGATGTCTCTGGCAGGATGATAGACTGCACATTGACTCTAAACCTCTGAGTGAATGACTGAAGATTCTGGAATGTTCCTCTGCTGATGACAGATCTAGACCAGTACCTTGTCATCCTGAGATGAAAGTGATTGGCAGCACAGGATATATGGCTGAATGTTAAAAATCAATGTCTGGTTTGACTGAGTGAATAGTCTATCCTGAAACAGATGACAGAGTCAATGCTGAAGATAGTGCTCTGATCAATACTGAAGTGTCCAGACTCTAAGCCTGAGCATCAGACAGATGCAAAATGAAGAGAGATCAAACTGAACAAGGAGATCAGACAGGAGCATCAGACTTGACTCTGCAGATTGAAAGGGACCAGCTCAGTCATGACATCTAAGACAAGGCAGGGACTGACCTGGGAGGAGACAGCACCACAGATGATGAATATGAACTTCATTGAGACTGCTTCTTTTCACAGTTATATGAAGAACAAGAACTTGACAGTCTTCATAATCAGTCTGTATGAAATTGATAAACAGCTTGAGAAGAAGTGAAGTTTAGTGAGAGCTGAGGAGAAGTCTGATGAGGAGCTGATCAGCAACTTATCAGAATGATTGAAAGGTCAGGAGGACTGTTTCTCAAAGAAAGCATCAGATGAATTATCTCCCCTATGAAAGAATGTTGATTTTAAGATAGAGCTTCAGTCTGACACTGATCTCATTCAGGACATTGGACATGCATCTCTATATAAGATGAATCTGGAGGAACTAGAAGCAGTGAAGACCTACCTTGAAATCAACCTAGCAAAGGGCTTTGTCATTCCAAGTTCAGTCCTCTACACCTCTTCAATCCTGATTGCTTGTAGTGGGAAGAAGCTATGATTCTGCATTGACTTTCACAAGCTGAATGCTATGATCAAACAAGATCAGTATTCCTTGCCTCTAATAGATGAGCTGATGGACTGACTCAACAGAGCAAAATACTTTACAAAGCTGGACATTCAGCAGAGGTTTCATTGCATCTGAATGAACTCTAAGTCAGAGGACCTGACCATCTTTAGAACCTGCTACAGAACCTATAAATACTGAGTGGTCCTCTTTGATCTTACAAATGCCTCTGCCTGCTTTCAACAGTTTGTCAACAGTATCTTCTTTGACTACCTGGACAAGTTTATGACAGCATTCATGGATGACCTTCTAATCTACAGCAGGACTCTCAAAGAACACAAGCAGCAAGTGAACCTGGTACTGAACTGATTAAAGACAGCAGGCTTGCAAGCTAGCATCCAGAAATGTGAGTTTGCTGTTCAGAGAACAAGATATCTGGGGTTTATCATTATCACAGAGGGGATTGAGACAGACCCTGAGAAGACTGCTGTCATCACAAAGTGACAGATCTCAATCACAGTAAAAGGTGTTCAATCATTTCTAGAATTTGACAACTTCTATCAGTGATTTATAAGGAACTATAGCTGAATTGCAAAACCACTATACCAGTTGACAAAGAAGACAGTTTCATTTGTGTGAACATCAGAATGTCAATCAGTCTTTGAGAAACTGAAGAAGCAGCTGGTGAAGGCTCCAATTCTACATTACTTTGACCCTGGATGTGAAACCCACATTGAGACTGATGCCTCAGATGAAGTGATGACTGAAATACTGAGTCAAAGATTGAATGATAATCTTTGACACTCTGTGGCCTTCTACTTCAAGTCAATGAATGGTGCAGAGCTCAACTATGAGATTCATGACAAGAAAATGCTTGCAGTCATCTGAGCATTGCAGGAGTGATGAGCTGAGCTTGAGGAACTACAATGGAAAGAACAATTCAAGGTTCTCACTGATCATCATGCACTGGAATACTTCATGACAATCAAGAAGCTGAATGCATGTCAGACCTGCTGGACAGAATTCCTTTCTCATTTCTATTTTGAGATTAAGTATCAATCAGGTAAGGTCAACCTGCTAGCTGATGTGCTGAGCAGGCCTGAGCAGATTAAGAAGCAACAGGACAGCTGTATGCAGATTCTTCTAGAATCAGAAACTCTTGACCCTCAGATCACTCTCTCTATGAATATTGCTGGCATCAACTTCTCAGAGGAAGAGAACATTGCTGAATGCATAGTGTCTTTAAACAAGACAGCTACCTCAATTGAGCCCCTGTGGCAGCAAGTAGGAGAGAAGAATAGTCCCTATACAATGAAGGATAATATGTTGCTCTACCATGGAAGATTGATAGTGTCTGTTCAGAAAGAAACTCTTATAGCTGCTCTGCTAAAGAAAATTCATGATCAGATCTCAACAGCACACCCAGAAGGACAGAAGACCCTGACTCTGATTCACCTCTGCTATTGATGAATCATCTGATGAGTGAATATCTTACACTATGTTCAGAACTGTCATACATGCTGAGTTAATAAGATCTCAAGGGACAAAGCTCCTGGCCTGCTAGAGTCACTATCAATATCAGAACAGACATGACAGCATATCACAATGAACTTCATGAATGTGTCAAAGAGCAAAAGTGACTGTGATGTCATTCTAGTTATAGTCTGTTGATTAAGCAAGAAGGCAATTTCAGTTCCTATCACCTGTGAAGTTACAGCCTGAGAGCTGACTTGATTATTCATCTGATTCTACTATTTCTATAATAAGGCACCAGACTTGATTGTCTCTGACTGCAGCCCTCAGTTCATATTGAACTTCTGGGATGAGTTCACAGAAATTCTAGACATAAAGTTGAAACTCTCAACAGCACATCACACACAGACAGATGAGCAGACAGAGACAACAAATCAGTATATTGTCACACATCTTCACTCATATGTTAATTACTATCAAAATGACTGAGATGAGTGATTACTCATTATAGATTATGCTTCTGCAGTCACTTCAAACATCTTCACTGAGATCTCTCCCTTTCTAGCTGCAAATGAATATGAGTCATGAACATTATTTGACTGGAGGCCCCTGCCAAGAGAACTAAGAGCAGGAGAGAGGACAAATTGAAGAGCTGCTCAAAACTTTGTTAAACAGATGAAAGAGATCTGAGAGTGAGCAGGCAAGGGCATGAAGACAGCACAGAAACAGATGAAGAGGCAGACTGATAGACATCATCAGAAACCTGACTTCACAGTGAGAGATTTTGTCTACTTGACATTGAAATCATACAGAATTGACTGATCAAGCTGTAAGCTGGCAGCACAGAACACAGACCCCTTCAGAATTCTAGAGAGGGTGGGCAATGCTTATAGACTGGACCTTCCCACAACCATGAAAATTCATTCAATCTTCTCCTCAGACAAGCTGTGCAAAGATCCAAGAGACCTCCTACCAGGGCAGGCTGTCAAACCACCAGATTCAATTGAGATAGATGAAGAAAATGAATGGGAAGTGGAGCATATATTAGCCAGTCAAATAAATTGAGACAAACTGCAATATCAAGTCCACTGGAAGGGATTTGATGAGTACTCATCTTGGTACCCAGCTCATGACTTCAAAGAATCACCACACGCCATACGCGACTTCCATGAAGCTAACCCTACAAAAGCTGGACCTCCAAGGCGACTAGATGAGTGGCTGAAGGCATGGGAGACAGACAGCTACCTGAAGGACAAGGTTGATGACAACCTACCAGCATGAGGACATGCCTGTCCCTAGACTGGGGGGTGATGTTAGGCTCAGCGCCCGACCGAGCCCGACCGAGGCTCGGTGCCCGGTTAGACTTGACGTCGGATTAAGCTTGGCGCCCGGTTAGGCCAAATATCCTCACATGATCAAATGACCATGCGGGTGGTTATAACCCAGGCAGGCCCCAGCACCTCTTTCATCCCATCAAGCTTAGTATTTCGTTATATAGCAGTTAGCAACGCAGAGAGTTTCCTTCTTATGCAGCTCGCATTCGCTCCCTAACAAAGAAGAAGAAGAAATAAGGTGCAGAAGTAGTGTGTGGAAGACTCTTCAAAAAGAAAAACAAGCTATTTAGGCCATAACCTGTGGGACGTCTAAAGTGGTTGTATTTGGTAGCGATCTCAGGGATGCTATATACTATTGTGCGGTGCCGCTAGTCCATAATAGGAAGCCTAGGTTCCAACAACAGAATCCCATCAATCTCTATCACATGACTTTCTGACTAAGCTGACTCAGCTTTATTTTGTAACTAAGGCAGCCCTCTAAAAGCATGTTTGAGATCGAAGACGGGAAGCTCTCCAGCATGCTAGAGTCCATGTCTCTATCTCCACTCACTCCTACCATGACCGGACTTACAATTAAATACGATGGACACACCGTGCCATTTGAATCAACTATTGAGATCAAAACCCGGGTCTCCCATAGGCCTCTTGAGATCGAAGAGGTCGCACCGCAGCTCTGGGTATCGCAAACTCCCAAACTTGTACGAGCTTACCACCAAAGGGAGCGGATTCCAGAGGCCAGAGGTTGAGGATGTGGCAATTGAGATCAAAAGATGGGAGGACCGCAACCAGACGGATTTGAGGAAATTAGCGGCGCTTCTTGACAAGATGCTCCGCGAAGTTAAAGGCTGTGACACATTTTCGGTTGCACTTTCGGTGTGGTCTCCCTCTCCGGTTGAAGATCGGGATTAATCCTGTCATTCCATTTGGAGTACAAGTCATCTGGTAGCATTTTCGTGCCTTTTCTTTTCCATATTATCAACTTATCTGCCTGGCAATCATATCGTGCCGTAGCATGGCCGCCTCTGACGACCTCAATTCATATTGGTGGCGTTCAATACAACACTGAAGTATCGAAGATACCCTACTTAGCATCTTTCGTCAAATTCCAAGCCAAAGCCCAACCAGGCATAACAGAGTTTGTTCATGGGCCTATCCTTCTCTTTTCGGAAGCACTCAAGGGTATTGAACGGGTTATCGACAGTGTTTCTGGTGCCTCACACCCGATCTTTCCCAGCATCGCACCCTGTGTGAAAATACAATTTTCTTGGTGTTGATATCCTTGATGGACAGACGATCGATGAGATCTTCAATGATCTGAGATCCTGCGAAACTGATTACTAACACGAATACAGACGCTGCCAAGAAAGCAAGGGGGATAAGTCGAAGGCGCGCGATGCGGCATTTAAGCTCTTGTATTTGATGCCGTTTGGTGAATTCGATGATGAGGTAAAAAATAGCACCAAAATCTTTAACACAGTTCTCTTTCTCGTGCCTCACTCAGGAACTTTTAAGTGGAGCACACGATCAATCATGCGGGCGGCATATGAGGAGCGTTTTGTGCTATCCGCGAAGCAGAGGACCAGTTTAGACAAATGGGAAAAGGGGGAAGCTGCGAGAAGGCCGGCGGAGGAGGATAGTGATATGACAACAAAGGAAGAAAGTGACTGGTATGATTCTGATAGCTTGGGTTTCTGAAAAATAGCATATTGTTATATTGGGTTTCTCTGCCATTCTCTGGTAAAATCTAGGACTTGTGGGGGCGTTCCTCAGGTGGAACCGGGGTACCATCTGGAATTGTACGAAGAAACAATTTGATTCCGTTGTTCATGCGAGTGTTGTCTGTTTGAAGACGGTTATTTTCGGTATGAAGATGGTTATTTTGATACAAAGATTGTCAATGCAACTTCTGCAGGTTGTTGCTTGAGGATCAGATGGCCTTGCAGCTTCATGCATTGAAACTGCACCGCCTAGAGCTATGATGCCGGGTGAGACTGATCTCCTCTTCCAGCTTTGGCTCGACAACTACTACAAGAAACCTTGCCCATCAGATTCGCAGGACGTAGCGAAACCTACACCAAAGTCCTTTTATCCCAATAGCCGCATCTGGATCTTGCGCAATCTGACAACTTGGGAGTTTGTCATCTCCTACTCCGTTGCCCTGAAACCGGAGTATGTCAGTGGCCCATTCATCAGCGGTATTGGATTTGGCGAAATGATTCTCTCTCGCATCTGCTGGTCGACATCCGGGTTCATCTCAATGGAGAACAAACACCACATTAATACGGCAAGTGGGCTGGGCATCAGCTCGATATCGTTCCACTTGATAGACTCAACAATGGGAACGGTTCTTGGAAAAACATTGGTGATGAAGTAGCAAAGGAAATCACGGAGATTTGGGAGGCTAATTTGGGTGAGAACTGGCAGGAGCGGATTATCAAGAGACGGGAATAGTATCTTTCGTAATTCTCTGCATAATTGTTTAACATAAACCTAGACAGAAACTTTAGCAAGATTTCTTTATATGTAGAAAGAGTAATGCGAAATTTAATATCTATTCTTTTGCTGTTCCAATGTTCCCAATTGCCTTATCAAATGATTGAATGATTGAGTTAAAAAGAAAACAAAGAAGAGAAGAGACAAACTCATTCATGAAAATCCGGGCATTTGTCGGACCCTTTGGGCTTCCTGACGATTAACAATAAAGTAAGTAACCTCATTCGGGGTGAAATCCGAAATCCGCGACCAATTCCATTCAGCCAGCCCCAAGGCAAATTTGAGCTCAGCCACGTACTCTGGAGCGCTGAGACGTTTTCGGCACCATGCTTCATCAATGTCCAATCCATCAACCAGCATCTCTGCGGCTATGGCGGCAGTGGCTTCCTGTTTCTTGATGTACATTCGACAGAAGCCAGTAAAAAAGGGCGCAAATCGTGGCAGCGGTAAGGTGGCGACCTGGTCAGCAGCGACGGAGTCGAGTATCTCTTTGCTGTAGTACTCTTGTCTGCCCTTATGCTCTTGAGGGGGGATTATATTTTGTTCTAGTTGGTTTAGATGGTAGTACGCGTCGGTAAAAAGAACAACAAAGCTAGGCATGGAGGAGCTGAGTTGAAAACGGGGAAATCCTCGTTTATACTCAGTGTAGATATTGTAGTTGGTTGCCTCTTGCTCAGTCAGGCATTTTTGAGCCCTAAAGATCGATGTTGCCAGCTCGAGATCTCTTGCAGGAACACAAAGTTCCAGGTCCTGTTCCAGCAAATGGTCAGAGAAGAGACAGTATACCACAAGGAAATAAAGATATCGACAAAATCATTGGATCAAAAGGCCACATTATACCTACCTACATGAACCACGCGAGGTGGATTGTAGTAGTTCAACGCAAGTTCACCAACTATACAAACAGGGATGTTCGCCTTCTGCAACAATGTTAGTAGCAGGCAAATATATGGGAAATCCATTTTGGCGGTTTGAATTGCGAATCTATATGTTGTAAGTAATCCAAAAGGCTGGTTCAATTGTAAATAGGTATGATCACTTATGATTGATCTCTTGTTTTCTGATAGATCAAGAAGAGCTTTATTCACTGTTCAGCTCTTATCATCTTCTTGTAAAGATTTTTTATTATAGATATTAATTAATTAAATAGATTTAAATTGATTAAATTTATCTGTAATATCAATAATTAGAATATCAGAATCTGAAATCATATCATATCTTAAATTGAATTAAAATCTTAAACTTTTTCTAAAGTATATAATTACTTTAAATTTAACTTAATTTTTCTCTAATAAAAATCAATAGTAGCTAGAATGTGAAATTAAATTAATGTTCAGTATCTAGATTTTCTTCTTATATAAGAATGAAATCAATTTTCTAAGCAAAAGCTGTATTTAAATAAAAGAAAATAGAAATATTACTTCATTCTATAATATTCTGTAGAAATGTAATTTTGAAAGAAAATTTTTACTTTTTTTGTTTATTTTTTATTGTAATAAATATTTAAATAAATAAGTTGTCAAATATTCTTTTTTTAAAACTGAAATTCACTGTTAATAGTGATTATAACAGCTTTCATAGAAATCAATTTCTGAAATTTAAAACTAGTTATTCTTGTGAAAGTAGTTAATTTGATAGTCTGTTTTACTTTTACTGAAGATTAACTTTCTGATGATCTCTGTACTTGAGAATTTCTTCATTTAATTCTACTTCTTGACTGGGAACTTGCTTTTTTTCAACTGAGTTTTAATTGAGTTTTGTTAAACTTGATAAAGAATTAATTAAAGCTCAACTCTATAAAATACCTTATAATTATGCACTTAGTTCTAACTTGCCTCTATTCTCAGCTATACTCAACTAGTTCTAACTTTGAGTCTGTAGTCTACAGAGATTATGTGCAGAGACCTTAGGCCATGTGCTCTTCACTTTCCACAGGTATCTTTTCTGCTGTGTCTAGGCAAACTTTGATAAAAATAGTGTGAGGAGAACCTGGTGTGACAGAAAGAAAATCAAAACTGATAAAGTTTTCAAAGAGATTACATGTGTCTTTTCTCAACAAAGACTTGATAAAAACTTTTGAGGATTGTATAAGTTGTTTTGAACTAATCAATCTTTTACTCATTCAATTTTCACACTATTTAGATCAAGTGTTGTGAGTTGATAATGAAAATTGTTGATGAATATTTACTTTTCAAAGAAAAGCATGTTTTCAACAATTACTCTCTCAATTCTTATCTGAATTGTATGAAAATTAAGAGATTGATTAACTTTAGTAAGAGCTTTCAAATGAAAGTATTTTTGAATCAAAATTTCAAAAATTGGCTAAGTTTTGAAAAGGGCCTTAAGATAAAAATAAAAGAAATAAATATTTAAAATTACAAGTAATAAGTTAAGAAGACATTTAGAATGAATGAATTAAATTTCAAAAGAAAGTGTGAGAAGCTCTATAACTAGAATTGTAGAAGAGTAGATATATAGATACAGTGAGCACTACAAAGGGAGAAGAATAATGATGAATGAAACATATGTATAGAATTGAATAGTTGCTAACCACTGAATCTCTTGAAGGAACTTTGATAATTTAGAGTATTTATATACATGAATGAATAGCAATAGATTTTATCTATAATCTTTCATGAAATGAGAAATTAGTAATGCAGTGATCTGATTTTTCATAAAGTGCTGATTCTATTCTTCAGAAAGTGCTGATTCTAAGGAATTAATTTTTGAGTAGTGTTGATCTGTACTGATTCTGAGTGCTGAATCTTGAGATAATACTAATTCTAGAAGATGCTGATTTTAAAATGTTTTGATAAGCAGTATGAAAATAAGTGCTTTAGTAAACAGTGTGATAAGCAGTGTGAAATAAGCAGTATGAGAGCAAGGAGCTAGTATAGAGAGTTTTGACATCACATTAGTATTATGATAAATCAAACTTTGAAATAAGAGATAAAATTTTTCTATCATTTAAGAAATATTAGATACAATATCTTAGTAGAAAGTTTATAAAATAAAATAAATATTTTTTTTAAAATTATTAAAAAAATTAATAATAAATATATATTAATATTATTTAATTATATAATAATTTATTCAATATTCTATTTCTAATAAACTAAGAAAAACTGTAAATAATTTCTTATTAAAATAAGAAAATAAAATATCAAAATCAGTTAAAATAAAAAATAAAAATATATATAAAAATAAAAATATTATAATAAGTTATATCTTTTAATAAAGCTTTAATATTAAATTAAATAATTAAAATTTGATGATAATTTAATATTATATTTAATATCAAATATAAAAAACTTATTGTATTATAATTTCAATTTAAATACAGATAAATAGATGTTCAATTGTCAACTATAGAAGCTATTTTAATAAAATATTAATATAATTTAAGAAATAAAAATCTAAAGAATTATCTTCTTATATATATTTTTTTACTAGTAGATATTTATATTATTGTCAAACAATTTCTATAAAATATTTATTTATAAAATAGTTGTTTATATAAAAATTACTATATTATTATTAGACAGTTTCTATAAATTAATTGTTAGATTATTATTATTATTATTCTTTTTAAATTATATTAATTTCTGTAATTAAGCAATTATATACTATTATAATTTAGTAGTTAATACTATCTATAATGTTATTATATAATTTTTTTTTTAATATTCAATTATATTCTTATATCAGTAGATTATTTTCTACTTTATTAAATAAATAATTATTCTTCTTTCAAGTTTTTAATCACTTATTTATTTGTTTTGCTGTTTCTGATTTTATTGAATTTGCTGTATGAAAATCTCAAATCAGATGCAATATTTCATAATATTATGATAATATATAACTACTAAGTTATAGAAATTTATAAGATCTGAAAAGAATTATAATAATAATCTAGCAATTATTTTACAGAAGCTGTTTAACAACAGTATAGCAATTACTCTGTAAATAAATATCTTACAAAAATTGCCTAACAATAACATAGTAATAGCTGGTGAAAAAAAAAAATATAAAAATTCTTTTTCAGATCTCTATTTTTTAAATTATTTTAATATTATTGAGATAGCTTTTTTAATTAACAATTGAATATTTATTTATCTACATTTAAATTAAAGCTATAATAGTTTAGAAGTACTAGGTTTTTGTTATGTTAGTACTTATTAATGAGATCTTCATTTATATAAAAATTTTTTCTTTTTTTTTTTTTTACTTTTTTTTTTATCAGTAATGTAGTGATTCAGTTTCTTAGCATATATAAATGCGATTCAATATCTCATAAAATTTAATTAAATAGTAATATGTGAATGATATATTTTTTTTATTATATCAAGAATTATATTTTCATAATATATATATTTTTATAATATGAATCTTACGCTTTCAAACTCTTTACCTATAATATAAAACAAAGAAGTCGGGTTCAAATGAAGTATTACTTATTATTTATCTATATATTTTTATCATTACTCTCGTTTTCTGCTTATATAAAAAAGTACTTCAATTAAATTAAGTTTTTCTTTACTTGATTGTTCTTTTAATTAAGCAGTCACTATGAAAAAAACTATATACAACTTCTCATTTCTTGGCTTCACTTTTAACAGTCCTAATCTACATCATTTGCATTTAAGAAGACGTTTGCTTAGACGCGGCATATATACTGGTTGATGTGTGAGGAGGATAAAATGATATCTTTTGCATCTGTCAGTTCTTGCTTCTTCTCTTCTCGCTTCAAAATAACTATACAGAACAATTTGATGAATAAACTTACTTCCCATACCCAGCAGGTATGTGGGTAGAAAGTTGTGCCGCAGAAGATATTCAACCAATCATGGTTCTTATGAAATAAAATGATATTGATATTTAGCCTCGTATTCGCTAGCTTTTTCAATTTCTATTGTTGATAGTATGGAATCAGAGTAATGAACTTACCCATGCCTTCTCCCGGCAATCCGCATTATTCCGGCATTCAAAGTCATACCTGCACTAGATAGGTATTTCTGTTAGTTTTCCTGAGATTAAACTATACTTCATGTTTCCGCCGGATTAAGACTCTAGAGGGAAAGTGGTAAATACGAACATAAAGATTCGGGGCACAGTAATCCCAAGTCAGCCTATTTGTTACATTTCGTGGCTGCCGTGGAGAAGTTGCGAGGCTGAGAGATGGGAGGAAAGCAGCCGCTGCAAAAAGCGCATGAAGCGATTTCATGTTGAGATTAATTTTTTTATCTATTATTTATTTATTTATTGTTTGATTGTCTGGGTCTCTTATGAATGTCTGTCTAGATGTGCAACCTCTAATATATATATTAAAGGTCGCTTTGAAATCTAAGGTTTTATGTAGTTCTATACTTCTGGGAATTATTCGCTGTTAAAATAGAGGCGAAATTATAGATGAATCTCATAGGATGCGTTAATTTATTATCCAATATCCTTAAAGCCTTGGGGATCGCTAGACACGGTTGCATCAAATTATAATTCACCAAGTCCTTGATATTTCCACAGAAAGTATAAGTATCAGTGTTGATTTGAACGACCCACCCTGTCTACCCGCATATTTACCCTGTGGGGGAACCCATGCCCATGCTTTCTGTGCCTTAGGTGGCGGAAGTCCCTATGATCAGAGGCAAATATCATCAAACGGCCGAAAGGGGGACACAAGTAAAAAAAAATATATTGGAAAGTGTTGAGAAGGGATAAGAAACTCTATTTACCTTTTTCATTCCAGGGTTCACCAAGAATCTCAATTTCATACGTACCATAATCAGCATGGCTTTGACTTTTTTTTCCCCAGAAATACCTGCTAGTTTTGAATGGTACATCTGATCAAGATAAAATCTGGTGAATGTCTCCTGTGGCATTGCGGCACTGGGGTGCTGAAGCATTCTCAGCTCTCTCCACTATGCATTCCCACTATCACTCATTACACAGTTGAAGATTAATCATGTATAATGCCAATTTCATAAGACCAGGAGCCGGGTAGCCAGGTAGTAAGGGTAGGTTGGCAGGATGGTTGGGTAGAGCATTTACGCAGTTTGGGACGGCCGAGATATGCGGCAATCGCAGGGCGCTAATTTTGACATGTTTGGTAAACTCCTGGGACGAAAAGTTAAATTAAATAGGCGGGTAAAGAAAGACTTTACTGGTTGCGTGGTCATGTAACTATCACAATTCCTTCATTTGTTTCCTGTTCCCCTTCGGTAGTTAGTTGTTGATCCGGGGTCAAACTTTAACCCTGCTTCCCCACGATCTGAGCTAAGTTGATAAAATGATTCACCAATCGGGAATCAGGCGCTTATCTTTATTTAAACATGGATCTAAAATTCTAAGTTCTTGAAGACCATTCCTGATACTGTCACATGACAATAAATTCCATCCGGGGTCTCTTGTCACACAGATTTGTATTATAAAGAAAAAATAAAAAAGTAAAATTACCAAGAAAGAGAATTTACATGATTTTATTGAAGGAGAAAGCATTAATGTAAAATTTATCATCTAATGAATGCCTTCTATGGTTTTTCTCCCTTTACTTTTATTTTATATTTGCAACTCTTAGTAACTTTCTTTTTTTTTTTTTGTTAAAGGAGTAATTTTATGCATAATCAATTCATTTTTCTAGCTAATCAAAAGCTGATTAAGAAAACTAGAATGAAAATCTAATACACAATATTTAATATTCTTACTCTATGATCTTAGTTCGAGCTACACTGTAATGATGCGGCGCCGAGATGAGTAGTTAACAACGACATCGCGTAGAGTAGGTTATTTGGAAAGCTGAATGGATGGGCTTGATTAGTTAAGAGAGTAGACAAACGTATGCCTACACAAATAGAAAAGTGGGGGTAGGAGCGCCTTCTAGACTTTTTCAATGACTTGATTTTTATAATCTTTTGCAGTGATTATCTATACAACCATCTTATATAAAAGCGAGAAAGTATGAATATCATCACTGTGAGAACCCTGGTGGTGTGAAGAAACTCTTTCCATGATGTAAAAAGAACAATGATGTCAAAAAATGTTTTCACAAACTCTTATGACTATTGACAAAACATTATGAGAAATTTTAAAAGTTTAAAAGAATAATTCTCATAAGCTAACTTTAAAAAATAAAGAAGTATAAAATTAAGTTTACAGTTAGTTAAAATATAAAACTTATTTAAATTACATGACACTAGATTTGTTTATTTCTCAGTGTATTATTTTTGTTTTTTTTTAAACTTAGTTAACTATAATATTTTGCTGACTAAAAATTTCTTTTTATCAATAAAATTGATATCTAATCTTATATTTTATTTCATTATTTTATTATATTCTCTTTAGCAAAAAAAAGTATTTTATATCAAATATTATAGTAGATGAGATGAAAAAGAAAATATATGTAAAATAATGATACTGTAATTTATATAGAACTTATCAAATTTAACTATAACATAACTATTATATTTTACTCATAATAATTTATTCTTGTGAATTATATTAATGTCATGGCTCAACTAGAGTCAGGTTGATAATAAGACAAAAGCTTCAATTCATCTATCTAATTAGACAGCTGCGACGAAAATACTACTGGGGATTATAATGAAGAATGGAATGAGCAGCCGAATATAAAAAGGTGGTTGAGAATTGAAGCGGATCAACCTTCAAAGCGGAGCGGATCAACCTTAATCCATATACAAGCTTCTGCGCCGTAACAATAAATTTCTATATACTTATTAAATATTTTTTTCAATTATAATATGTCAAGTTAATCTGCAGTGATACTGTAAGACAGGTTAGTAAGGTACAGCGATACGGCCGTAGCGGCAAATATCTCGCGCCTGTGGCGGATCGTACCATGGTTCCAACATGTTGCGTTTGCATGCAACTTACCAGCTGCTTTCATCTCAAAGAATTGGCCTTTTGATAGTTCTTCGATTGAGAGGTACCTTTTTCATTGTTAATGTGACTCACCACTCAACAAATCAAATCACTCAACGAGCTGTTCATTCAAAATCAGTGCCTCTTTCTTTCAAGAATTCAAATATTTCTACAATAAGTCTAGAATAGTTAATTATATTAAAATATATTAATGAGAGTATTATAAATTACATACAAAATAGATACTTTAATAAAATAATTAAGTAAATGATCTGATAATGTAGTCATGATAAAAGACTTAACATGAAAAAAGAAAATCATTGAAAAAGTATAAAATTTTAAATTAGTAGTAGAAAAAAAAAAAAATAGATTGATTAGAAAAGTTGAAACTGATGTTATTTTCTAAATAAAAAAAATTGTATAGAGATTAATAAGATGAAATTAAATGTACAAGCTTGCTTTCATTAATACTTCAAAGCAGATATATTTGAAATAGTTGTTTTCTACTTTGTAGTATAAGTTCAAACATATTCTTTCTTCTCTACTTGAAGCTGTATCTTTCTAGTATTCTGAACAGCTTTGTAAGTCTCATATTACTACTCTTTTCTAATTTTTTTATCTTTCAATCTTTTGAACAGCTGCTTGAGTAGTCTATCATTAATGTCAAGGCTTCAATCTAGACGCAGGTGAAACAGATGTTCAATTGCCAGCTAGATAAGCTATCTAGATGAAATACTAAGATGGTTCCGAAGAGATGGGTTCGGGGAAGGCTCTGTTCATATAGCCCTTTTCCTTAGCGCCGTTTGCTAGGCGGTTCCCACGTTTACATGTTATTCGTATGCGGGGTAATTGTGGGGTTGGTTGCTATGTTGATGCCTAGGCAGTTGTGATTACCAATCGCCTCGGCCCGTGGCCTTACGCTATCAAGGAGGCTGGACGGAGTCCGTTCTACCCCATCACAATTAAAGTCATTTGTTTGCTGCTTTTCAGTTATGTAAGCTCTTTTAAAATTCTGTTAAAACTTCTTCTTTGCTTACTAAGTATTTTTATTTTTTTTTTTCTCAATCAACAGTTTGAAGCTACTTACAAATCTGCTGAATTTTAAATAAAAAATAGAATTATATCTAATCAGATCAAATTATTCAAAGTTAAATAGATTTAAAATCTTCTCACACTATTAGTACTTCCCTTTCAAGTATAAAACTTTAATAAAAATATTACTTTTATATTGAAAAATCTTCTTTTCAAACATTAATCTCTCATTAGTATGAATAATCTTTTCAATAATTTTGAAAAAAACTTTGATAAAGCTATACTTTCTGAATTTTATATCAAAGTATATAAATTATTATAGAGATAAAAATTTTACTCAAGTTACTTAAAAATACTGATTATTTTTTAAATTAATGAAGAATATATTTATGATAATGTAGAATGAGCTTTGTTCAGACTTCTTAACAGTGTAAGATTATTGAGCTGGAATAATTAATAATCACAACTATATAGTAATGATATAGCAATCAACTCTGCAATTATCTCATAAAAATGAGAATTGTCTAGCAACAACACTAAAAAAAAGCAATTATACTAAGAAAAGAATTATATAAACAGAGTTTTCTCTGAACTTATTTTTTAAAAATTATCTTAATATTTTATTAAAATAGCTTATCTAGCTGACAATTGAATATCTATTTCATTTGCATCTAGATTGAAGTTGTGATATAATATTAAAATCAATTACTTTTCTTGCTCTTTTTTAAAGCAGGTTTTGAGATTAAAAATATCTGAGAATTTTTATCTATTTTTATTTTAAACTTCTGAGAAAACTGCTAAGATATCAAAAATAATTAAAAAATATGACAATTTATAAAGATTGAACTGAGATGTGATGACTCTAACTGAAAGAAATATGAAGTCAAGAAAACTTATATCAAAGAAAATATTTTTTAAAATATTTGAAAAGAATTTAAAGTAGGTATTTCAAGAGATTGATAGTTTTATAAATAAGATATGAAAAACTCTGAGCAGAATTGAAACTAAGTAAAATAAAAAGAAAAAACAAGTGAATGAGCTTAATCAGCAAATAAATAATTTAATTGAGAAATAAAATATATTATAGTAAGCTGTAAACTCCTTAATCTTATAACTTAGATCAGAAAAGATATAAAGAATACAACAATCTGTAACACTTAATGACTCTAAGCATTTCATCAATGAAAAGAAACTAATATTTAAAAACTGACTTTTATAAATAAGATACAAATTAATTATCAATACTGACTACTTTTAAACTGAAGAAAATCATATTAAATATATTAAAAATCTGATAAATAATAAAGCTACAAGATATCTGATTTTAAAAATAAAAGAAGATCATTTTGAAAAATTTAAAATAGTCAAAAAAGTATTTAAGTATCTGTAAAGAATATATGAAAATGTTAATAAATTAAAGAATATTAAAATATGATATTAATAACTGATAATAAGAAATGAGAATAACTATCATATATTTATAGTCAAGTTCTTGCACTTGATTGAGAAAGTTTAAGTTTAAAAGAAAGATTATAAAGCAAATTTTATTTATAAACTTTTCTTTTATCTGCAATATATGATAATAATAGTTTGTACTAATTGCATTATCTTTTCTAAAGTTCAGAATATTTATGCTCAGATTACTTACTATTTCAAAAGTATACTCAGCTCAAACAGTTAATAATTACCACATAGCGAGAATTTAGAACAACATTAAAATAATTATGAGAAAATTCTCTAAATTTAAAACTATGAATTAACTTCAATCATACTAGCACAAATAACTGAGAATAAATTAAAGAATAAAAATTGAAAAAGAAAAGAAAATGCTTTAACTACTAAAGCAAAGATCATATAATATAAAATTGCCTATATAAATAAAAGCAGAAATAAAGAAAGTAAATACTGAAACTGTTATCCTCAAGTTGAGAAAAATTAAATCTGAAAAAAATCTCTTTCTCAGATAAAATAG